GCACACAGCAAGGGCAAGTTGTCTTCATCTCTCCACGGCCCTGCCCCCCCCCCCCCCCCGTCCTGGCACCCTGCTTTCCCCTCCAAGCCCTGCCTGGCGCTCACTTTGTCTCCGTTCATGAAGCGCTCCTTCTCCTTGAGGTTCACGTGGTCGATGGAAAGGCATTGCTCGGCTCGCGACTCGAAGACGACGGAGCCGTCCGGCCGCCGCACCAGGCGCCCTTTGCGGCCGGTCATCTGTGTGAGCGAGGGGACAGAAAAAGAAAAGGCTGTTATACCTGGGAGGCCATTATTATTATTAATTATTATTATTATTATTGAATTTATATATCGCCCTATACCCGGGGGTCTGAGGGCAGTGCACAAAATCAAGATATAAAACCACAAAATACACAATCAAGACAAAAAGAACAACCCAATAGCGCCCCCCCAAAAAAACATTTTAAAAGGGCAGAGGATGTAAATCGGATCAGATCAACCAAAGGCCTGGTTAAAAAGGAACGTTTTTGCCTGGCGCCTAAAAGTGTATAATGAAGGCGCCAGGCGAACTTCCCTAGGGAGAGTGTTTCACAGATGGGGAGCCACTGTAGAAAAGGCCCCGTTCTCATGTTGCCACCCTCCGGACCTCTCGAGGAGGAGGCACGCGAAGGAGGGCCTCAGAAGATGATCTCAGGGTCCGGGTAGGTTTATATGGAAAGAGGCAGTCCTTGGGGAATTGCGGTCTATTTAAGGCTTTATAGGCCAAAACCAGCACTTTGAATTGGGCCCAGAAACTGATCGGTAGCCAGTGCAGTTGGACCAGGATGGGTGTAAGATGATCAAACCATCTTGCCGTCTGGTGAGCAACCCGGCCGCTGAATTCTGCACTGGCTGAAGTTTCCGAACTGTCTTCAGAGGCAGCCCTACGTAGAACGCACTGCAGTAATCTAACCTTGAGGTCACCAGAGCACAGACAACAGTAGTTAGACCATCCCTGTCCAGATAGTGGCATAGCTGGGCACAGCTGAAGAGGATGGAAGGCACTTTGTGCCACTGAGGCCACCTGAGCCTCAAGCGACAGCAAAGGATCCAGGAGGACCCCCAAGCTACGAACCTTCTCCTTCAGGGGAAGTGTGACCCCATCCAGAGCCAGCCATCTGGTCTAGGGAACCCCCCACTAACAGTAAAAGGTAAAGGTAAAGGGACCCCTGACCATTAGGTCCAGTCGTGACCGACTCTGGGGTTGCGGCACTCATCTCGCTTTACTGGTCGAGGGAGCCGGCGTACAGCTTCCGGGTCATGTGGCCAGCAGGACTAAGCCGCTTCTGGCGAACCAGAGCAGCGGACGGAAACGCCGTTTACCTTCCCGCCGGAGAGGTACCTATTTATCTACTTGCACTCTGACATGCTTTTGAACTGCTAGGTTGGCAGGAGCAGGGACCAAGCAACGGGAGCTCACCCCGTCATCGCGGGGATTCAAACCGCCAACCTTCTGATCGGCAAGTCCTAGGCTCTGTGGTTTAACCCACAGCGCCAACCACGTCCCCACTAACAGAGCCTCAGTCTAATCTGGACTGAGCTTCAGTCTGTTGGCTCTCATCCAGCCCATTACCGAGGCAAGAGACTGGTCCAACATCATTATCATTATTATTGTCGTCGTGGGCCTGCTGCTACCTACCTCTGCCACGTGCTCCGGGCCCCCAAAGTGATCGATCAGTTCGTCCAAGGTGTTGAGAGGTAGTTCTTTGCCCAGCGCCTCCGCCTTGGCCAGGAGGTCCTGTTTCATCTTCTCGACGTTCTCCAGCATGACGGTGCCATACAGCTCCTTCTGGGAGTTCTGCAAAGAGGCGTTGCCTGCGCAGAGAGAGAAATTGTTTGTTTCTCCCTCTCTCCTACTGGTAGAACTTGTGGGGACGCCCAGGGATGTGAAACCATTGGGAGTATTTAGGATGAGGGTGGGGGAAGGATTTCTCCATGCAGCTCAGAGTTAAACCATGGGCTTCCTTTTACAAGGGGGCATAGCTGTCAACTTACAGATTTGAAAATAAGGGACCAGCAGCCTCAAAAATAAGGGATCAGCAGCCAAAATAAGGGTTTTTCCGGGCACAGGTATGTTCAACTTCTGAGCCCCTCCGAGCCAAAGGCAGAAAGCCCAGCCAGCAGCCAAACAAAGCCTCAAGGAAAACCACTGTCACCTCTCCGCTGGGAAGCGCTGAGCAAAGGCGAGTCCCCAGGCAACGCAGCCAATTTGATCGGCACAAGGCATGCAAGCTCCACCTCCCAGTCGTTCTTAGACTCCTTATTGGGTGAGCAACGCAGCCAAGCAACCCAGTTGGAACCTCCCTCCTCTCTGGCCGGCAGGGAGGGAGGGAGAGGAGCTGCTTCCTCTGAAACCCGGGAAATTTAAGGGACATCATCAATAAGGGACAGCAGCGGGACATGGCCCTGGGATAAGGGACTATCCCGCCAAATAAGGGACGCTTGACAGCTATGCAAGGGATTGGAGGAAAAAACCTCTGCTGACGTTTGCTAAGGATCAGAAACTTCTTATGGAAACTTCTTGCATGAAGGAGAAAAGTAGCTTTGTGATGTAAGTAGGCATTATTGTCTTGAAAGATGTTTAGTAAGGCCAGTTCTGGGTTGACTTCTAATACTTGCTGAGTTTGCCGGGTAAATCTGAAACTACTATACTAAATATCTTCTGGACTACAAGTCTAATGATATCACAGTGGCCGTGGTGAAGTTTCTTTCGGTAGTCATATGTATTAAAGATCATCATACAGTGGTACCTCGGGTTACATACGCTTCAGGTTGCAGACTCCGCTAACCCAGAAATAGTACCCTGGGTTAAGAACTTTGCTTCAGGATGAGAACAGAAATCGTGCTCCAGCGGCGCAGCGGCAGCAGGAGGCCCCATTAGCTAAAGTGGTGCTTCAGGTTAAGTACAGTTTCAGGTTCAGAACAGACCTCCGGAACGAATTAAGTACTTAACCCGAGGTATCACTGTACTTAAGACTAAATAAATACCGTCTCGGTTGCCTGTATAAATCTGCATTTTATTCTGGATCTATGCTATGGGTTTTTGGACCACAATAAAGATGATGGTGATGATGATGATGATCACTTGCTTAGTTATTTTGCATCTTTCTTGTATGATTGATGTCCAGAAAGCTGGATGTTTAATGAGTGAATACTACATTTGGCTGGCAGACAGAGAACTGGAATTCTTTTTATCTTTTTCCCACATCCTGATGAATCGTAGAGTTGGATGGGGTTGCGAGGGTCATCCAGTCCAACCCCTGCAATGCAAGGATCTTCTGCCCAATGAGGGGCTTGACCCCATGGCTTACGTGGGGGTTGTGGGTTCGAGCCCCACGTTGGGCAAAAGATTCCTGCATTGCAAGGGGGGTTGGACCAGACGACGCTTGTGGTTCCTTGCACCTCTGCCAGTCTATACTTCCTTCCCCACTTGAGAGTCCCAGCAGCTGGGATTCAGAGCCTTATCCTCCGTGAAAATTCGCTTTAATCTTTTCCAAACTGTACAACGCAACCGTTGTGGATCGCACCCCGTGGGCGACTCTGGTCCGTGAGTCTGCTCTGAACAGGGCTGGCACTGGGTGCGATTAAGGTAAAGGTAAAGGGACCCCTGACCATTAGGTCCAGTCGTGACTGACTCTGGGGTTGCGGCGCTCATCTCGCTTTCTTGGCCGAGGGAGCCGGCGTACAGCTTCCGGGTCATGTGGCCAGCAGGACTAAGCCGCTTCTGGCGAACCAGAGCAGCACACGGAAACGCCATTTACCTTCCCGCCGGAGGGGTACCTATTTATCTACTTGCACTTTGACGTGCTTTTGAACTGCTAGGTTGGCAGGAGCAGGGACCGAGCAACGGGAGATCACCCCGTCACGGGGATTCAAACCGCCGACCTTCTGATCGGCAAGCCCTAGGCTCTGTGGTTTAACCCACAGCGCCACCTGCGTCCCTTTGGGTGCGATTAAAGATGACAGCAATT